AAAACACTATATCTAATCATGAAATGGCCAGTTTCCTTATAAAAACATGTTTGTGATGTTTTGAATAGAGTTATATCGTTATAAAAGATGTTGCTTCATTAAAAACATGAATATGAGAATTTCCCAGTTTTCATAAATTTGTTAATTAAAACAAAATCGATGATTTTAACCCATACTCATCAATTTCCACCAATGCTGTTCGGTGTGAGCAAAGGCTCCGTGTTAAAGGCCGTACTTTTACCTATAATTGTTAACTTTTTACACATTGTGACTTGGATGGAGAGTTGTCTCATTGGCACTCATACCACATCTTCTTATTTCTATTGACAGAATGTAAGTATATCATGATATATAATAATATTCTGGACACACCAAAAAAAAAAAACCCACTCAATTAGATAATGTTGCAATGTTATTGATGTTTTCGCCTTTTCTGCATTGATTGACTGGGCTATAGGCCACAACCCACCAATTGAAATGAACGTATTTCCAAGGACAAATAGGAAAGTAAAATATTTAAACAAAAACAATTACTCATAATAAGATTTTGCTATTAAAAAAAAACTATTATACGATATTTCAGATTGTGTGGCCTCGATTGTTGCACTCAGGCACATATATGCGCGCTCTTCTTGATTTATTCGAATAAAATGTTTATGTCCGAATTAGGTCCGTTCTAATTTGCTTGAAAACTTAAATTAAGAAGTGTTTATCTTTTCTGCATATTTTTCTTTTTAGTTGATAGTTTTTTTTTGAACTTCTCTAGTTTAGTTTCATACATGTAACGGAGAATTGGTGTGTTTCTGTTTGAAAATTTTTAACAAATTTCTCAAAACACTTTTATAGCCTGTTATATGTATACTCATTGTTTGTTTTTTTTATTTATTGGGATATGATAACCTTATATTATAACTCAGTTTTCATTATCCTAACTCTCAGTGTAGGACACATATACAAATTAGGATAAAGACATTTCTACCTCCCAATTGAAAACTGAGGACACGTTAGATAGGGACAAACATTAAGCCTTGCAACGGGCCACCTGTGTACCTATCAAAGAGTTGTTGCAAACTTGGTACTCGCTTTACTCGAGACATCGGACATTGCTGCGTATTTAAACATCCTTATACTAAGCATATAATTCACAATAAAAGAGTCGTCTGTGTCGAAAGTTTAAGAAGTTTGATATTTGCGCTGAGACCAGAATTATGGGCGAAAATATAGTTCACGGTATCCAGTAACTAGTAAAATATTATAAAGTATTTTTGTTCGAAATTAATACTTGAGTCATATGTTTAGTTTATAGTTAACAGATTGTGCCGGAATGTATGTATGACCCCTTGGGTATGATCTGAAGGGGGCGAAAAACCGACTGATTCACACAGAAATGCTCTTATGCAATTGAAGTTAGAAACTTGTCAATGATATCGTATAAATAATCCACATTTTTAAAACACCTTGCATGAGGTTTTGGAAGTTTGATTTTTGCCCTACGTACCGAAAAAGGACGAAAATGCTTTAGAATATTTCTAAGTGAAACATTATAATTGAGATTCTAAAGTATTTTGGATAGGAAGAAGAAACTTGTCAATGAATTATAGCTTACATTATAGCAGGATCGGCTTACCCTTCCGGAGCACCTGATATCACCCCCAGTTTTTGGTAGGTCCATGTTGCTCAGTCTTTAGTTTTCTATGTTGTGTTTTGTGTACTATTGTTTGTCTGTTTGTCTGTTTGTCTGTTTGTCTGTTGGTCTTTTTCTTTTTTAGCCATAGCGTTGTCAGTTTATTTTCGACACGAGTTTGAATGTCCCTCTGGTATCTTTCGCTTCTCTTTTATACATTGTAATACAATTAAGGTGTCTATATTTTTCGTATGACGGAAGACAGAACTTTTATCAATGTCTAAAATCAGTGAAGACTTGGCATTCGTGAAACGATAGTTAGGGGAATCGAGCTTGTTTGTAAAGGGCGGTACTTTGCAAGATGGTATTTGAATATTGTATTCAATCCCTGATACGGGTCCTCAGGATCAGTCGAAATATGTTTCAATAAAAGGGGAGATTTGAGATCTTACCACATGTTGAAGTGTCGGAGACAAGTGAGGAACCTCTTCAAAGGTTGTCTTTTCAAGACAGTTGTCATATCTTTTTTTTCTTCTAGAGAATTCGGCGTTGAAGGCAGATTTTTAAAGTCTGTGTGGAATAACAACCTATACCGACTCAGGAAGATTGAGTGCTTAACATCAGTACATAATGTACTGTAACGAAATGTGGGTCCCCTGAAATGGAACTTGTTTCCCCTAAAATTGTGTGATGACGTTGTTTAAATCTTACCGATAATTGACTTTTCTTATTATATATTTCTTGTATAACTATGTTTAAACATTGATAACTCTAAAACTTTTTATTATTCTTGCCTATGTTTTTACATAGGAACACCTGTGCATTGTGTACTTAAAATGACGTACAATGACGTCATTACCTATTTTGGTAATCACCAGTTCCGGTTTTGGTAATTTAGGTATTTTCCGAAATGGTAAATGGTAAACCAAAATGGTAAACGGTAAACCAAATCGGTAAATTGGTTTACCTAAGTATAAATACGGCGGAGAATACAGATAAGTCTTCAGCACCATTTTACCCTGGGCAAGTAACACACGTTAATTCCATGCTATTTTGATATACGTACAGATACCATGTATAAGACCAAGTAGTTAACCAGACAGCCAACACTAATACAATGTCCGAGGAGACGACGTCCGTATAATGTGGGTTTGTTAATTCCTTTCCAAGTTGCATTTAGGGAATAACTTCTCGAGAGAAACTTTATCTTTTGGCATTGAATTTGATTTACCATTTGCCGATTACCAAACTACAATTAGTAAACTTTCTGGGTATATATTTTTCCGCTATCCATTTTCTTTAATTCACGATAGAAGGTTAATAAAGTATTCATCTGTTAGACTCGAATATTATTAAGTTATCTAATATTCATATGTATTGTTGATATTTAATGCATCTTAAAGTTAATACAAGTTGATTTTTATTTAACGAGTCTGTTATTCTTACAAACATCGAGAGTTACAATACAAAAACCTATACTCCAATCTACCCTTTTATATCCGAGCCATTACCTTACCAGAGGAACCAGCCTTACCAGTATGTATTCAGAATACCAGAGTACCACATAGTACCACGCTACCAAAGAATGGTCACCAGTTATAACTTTTATTTCTTATATACTCGTACATTCTAACATAACACATTCTTATAGCAACGCACTAAGGGATAAATATTTATAGTTTACACTAAGGCCCGACCGCTCGGTTTTCGTTACAGTACTGTTTAGCCACCAGTCCTGGTCTTTTGTTGAAGATCGTATGCTAACCCTAGATGCATGATTTTTGTCGTTTGGTTTTTGTCTCAATGAATAATACCCCACATATCATTTTCTTCATTTTTCGAATCATTCATCTACTTTCGGTCAGGATTTTGTCAAATACTCACTAAAAGTGTATTGTGTATTTATTTGCTCCGTAAATTTTTTGTAAAAAGTGAAAAGTGAAAAACTGTCGTATAAAATGGCGTGCGTTGAAAACAGTTATCTGCTTATTTGAAATCAACTTCGTCTATAAGAACATGAATTTATTAAATGCTTGTTATTGGCTTCGAACTAGCTTTCCGTAACTGCTTGTACTCGGGGACCTCGGTGGCCGAGTGGTCTAATGAGTTCATCTACAGCGATCATTAGTCTGTCAACACTGAGGTTGTAAGTTTGAAAATAGCTCGTGCAGGGACGGATCCAACCATTTTTAAAGGGGGGGGGGGGGGGGGGGGGAGGGTATTCCAATCCAGGATAAAAAGAAGGGCTGGGAGGGTTCCAACCATATGTCCCCATTCAAAAGCATTGATGGTAAAGAAAAGGGGGGTTCCATTCCCCGGAAGCCCCCCCTCCCCCCAATTCCGCCACTGTATAAATGGTAGGTGTAATTTGTTTCTATAGGTGGCGGATTCAAAAATATCCCCCCTTTTTTGACGATCAATGCTTTTGAATGGGGACATATGGTTGGAACCCCCCCCTATATCCTGGGTTGAACACCCCTTTTATAAATGGCTGAATCCGCCCCTGTCTTTGGTTTTTATGTAAGTTGTTTTTGTGCTTTGTGTCATTGTGACGAGTCGACCTAACTGGTTTATTTTGATGTGCTAAGGGAGCTACCATTTGATTTTAAGAAGGGGGGGGGGGGGGGGGGGGGGGGGGGGCTAGGATGAAAAAGAAAAAAAGGCAGGACTGGAGTTTTGAGTTAAAAAAAAAAAGGCAGGATGACAATTTATGTAAAAAAAATCAGGATAAACTAATGAAAAAAAAGGCAGGACCGAATAGAGTGAAAAATAAAAAGGCAGGACAGAGATTACAACTTAAAAAATGCAGGACAACATTTTTCATCGTAGCCCCCCCCCCCCCCCCCCCCCTCCATAAAAATCAAATGGTAGCTCCCTAAGACACCATTGTCCCAAGTAAGGGTAGGATTGAGCGCTCACGAACACCTTTAACCCCGCAACATTCTACATTTCGTACGGCTTTGCTTTTGGTAGAAATCAATATAAATTCTATCAACTCCCGGAACACCGTCTTCTGGATAGTTTTTTTTATATATATTTGGACGAAGAGCTTTATCATAAAAATCCAAATAGTGAATAAACATCTAATTACAGATGTTATACTATTATTAACACAAAAAACTTCATTCTCCAAACAAACGTTCATGGGGTTGAATCAAAACTTATTTAGACGAGGTTTACAGATTTAGAAAACAAAATGAAACAGAACAATGGGGTACGTACTAAAATATGAAAAAATAGAGAAAATTGGACAAAAAGTAAAAGAGGAGAAGGTAAAATAGGAAAAACAACAAAATTATTTAAATTAAACAATACAGAAATGAAGAATCCCACCTTGACCCTCATTCATAATTCAGTGGTATTTCCCTAGGTACTTTCCCGACTCAGTGTGCAATTTGTTATTTTTCACTGATGTCGGATGCAATCCTCTACTCCATCCTCTGGTGAGTAAACATAAAAATAAAACATCAAAATGCTATGATTTAATTTATATATTCAACTATGTTCATGATAAGTGTAAGAAAATCACGAAATGCAAAATACATCATACGTTTATTGTCGAGCAGAAGATTATTCAAAATATTCAAATGCATTTTTGAAAATTTACTGAAAAGAACATCTAAAACTCACTTATACAAAAACAAAATATAGGTGTATGATATGATATTATTGGATTGGAATAAATTATGATGTTATAGTTTGGTGTACTCGAATATCGTGATTTTGCGAGTTTTCTCGATTACTTACCGGAGTCAATTAAATCCGAAAATATTGATTTCTCATTCTTAAAAACAGTTAGCTATAGTCGTCTCGAACACGGGGGTATTAATTATAAATATTTATATATTTTTATAAGCATCCGTTTTGGGAGATATAAGGAGAGACAAAAACCAACACAATGATTTTAATAACTGAACAAGTGACAAATGTGGATCCAGGATATTGAAATTAGTAAACAATTTACTTTATTTTATAACAAAGCTTTATAACGATTTTCGTATTATAAATGCTTAGAAGCTAATCATGGAATTCTCTGTAATTTCAGTTTTGGAAAAGAGGTGATGGGAGTCGTTAGTTCTAATCCGATTTGTTGCGCTCGGATGCGATCTGTTCACGATTTGCCTATTTCAGGTGTCAATTTCAGGTGTCAGAATCTGTCACGTTCTTACCTTCCGTTCAAATACGATCACATACGTTCCGATTGTTTCTATTGAGTCCACGATTGGGTCTCGATCTGACACGATCATCACTATCGGGATCCCCGAATTTGGACGATCTGGTACGTGCAGATACGTTCCGATACTTTTATCAAGAACCGATGCGCTCCGTTACGATAGGATATGATTGTGGTCGCGACGTCTTTCACGATCGTGATCAAGGGTGGTCACTACTTGAGCTACGTTCCGATAGGTTTGCGCATTTCTATTAAGAATTATGAGAGGCTGCAAAATATATTTCACATTAAAATTCTACGATTAACACGATTGCCACGACTGACCTCATGATCGCCAAGATTTGAAAGCACGTTGGGGAGGGGTATATTGTCAGAATGGTAAAAAAACAAATTAACGATATTAAGCAGAATAACATATTTTTTTAGTACGCCCTATGCGCCTCCCCCCTGTATTCGCAGAATATATTTTACAGAATATAGAATAATGGGCAAAAATACATGACAAAGGGCAAAAAAAAAAAAAAAACCCAACAAAAAACAAGAGAAAAATAGGCTTAAATATAAAGAATAGAGTATAATGGGGTTCTGATATATTAAGAATAGAGAATAATGTGCAAAAAAAAAATAGAATAGAGAATAATGTGCAAAAAAAACCCAAAGAATAAATAAATAAAGCACCCCCATCCAGACCCTCTTATATTATTTTATGCAAATGTAGCCATTGTTCTAAACCAATATAATCATGTTAAAAGTTTCTGTCAACTTTAGGTAACACCATCATAGAGGTATAATGCAGGAGATACAGATTTTTGTGATGATGTGCCTTACCTTAGCATGTGAATGCTGCATAGAGGACAGGATAACTGCTTTGGAATCGAGAATGTATTATGTAGAGTTATTGAAAAGAAGAATATCTTCACTTGAAGCAAAGCGTGAGTTTTCCGTATTCGTTATATTTATTGTTTATTTACCAAAATGGCCGCCGGAATAGTTAATATTATTGTGAGTTTATACACTACCTCTCTATATCAAACCTAAGGTTTATATTAATAATGTCTCGGACAAGTGCGAAAATCAGTGCCAATCACCTATTTCTCAAAGAAGTAAGAGCTAATTTCCTAATGCATGTAGATTAATACTTTAGTTGGCTTGCTTGCCTTGGTTTGTATAAACGAGGGGGTGCACAGCTTTTGAGGGAGGTAGGAAGTGGGGGGGCGGGAGGTGGGAGACATAAAATAGGTGGGAGAGAAAACAAGATTATAAAAGTGGGAGGTGGGAGATAGGAGGCGGGAGGTGGGAGAAGGGCCCTGTCCACTCCCTCATAAACATTTGCTCAAGCATTTTTACCACAGTGTTTTTGGTTTCTCTTCGAGAAGCGTCTTCATACAGAATAGTGTTTGTAGACTATTGTTTTGTCTTTCGTCGTTTTAAAGTTTTTTACCACGGTGTTGTTGGTTTCTCTTCGAGCAGCACCTTCATACGGAGTAGTGTTTGTAGACTGTTGTTTTGTCTTTCGTCGTTTTAAAGTTTTTATAACCCATGCAACGAAGTTGTGGAAGGTATAATGTTTTTGACCCGTTCGTCCGTCTGTTTGTCTGTCCGTTCGTCCGTCCGTCCGTCAGTCCTGTTCCTGTCATCGCAACTCCTCTGAAACCACACAACAGAATTTCATGAAACTTTGTAGATAATAAGGACATACTATGTAGATGTGCATATCGACAGAACATTATGATTCAATTTTTTTTCTAGGATTTATGCTCCTTCGAACTTATTGGCCTCAATATACTACTGCAACAGTTTGTCATCGCAACTCCTCTGAAACCACACAACAGAGTTTCATGAAACTTTGTAGATAATAAGGACATACTATGTAGATGTACATATCGACAGGAAATTATGATTCAATTTTTTTTCTAGGAGTTATGCCCCTTTGAACTTATTGGCTTCAATGTACTACTGCAACAGTTTGTCATCGCAACTCCTGTTCATATCCACAAGAAAATTTTTATCAGTTTACTTTTGTAGAGTTATGAATCTTTGAACTTAGGAATCTGGTGAGATTTAGTTTGTCCAGTGACAATGTGGGGGCGTGGGGTATGTGAGCGTGCTCCCAAAGGTTCTTTAATTTTTAGGAGTTAACCCCTTTTGAACTTATTGGCCTCAATATACTACTGCAACAGTTTGTCATCGCAACTCCTCTGAAACCACACAATAGAATTTCATGAAACTTTGTAGTTAATGAGGACATAGTATGTTGATGTGCATATCCACAAGAAATTTTTATCAGTTGACTTTTGTAGAGTTATGAGTCTTTGAACTTAGGAATCTGGTGAGATTTTGTTTGTCCAGTGACGGGGGTGTGGGGTATGTGATCGTGCTCACAAAGGTTCTTTAATTTACCACTGTGTTGTTGGTTTCTCTTCAACTTATGAAATTTCCTTCGGTGCCATAATTCTGATGACAGGAAATAAAAGCCCTGGAATATCGTATCAACTGGAAGATATATACTCCGTATGCAGGCGCTGCTGGAATATTGCTACATAGAAATGGAAAGTTCATAATTGGGAAGCTGAAATCATCTCTTTTGTAGTAAAGTTTTGTTTTCAACCGACCCTCATTGTCAATTTTTAGATGTAAGTCAAGATATGAGGCAGACTTAACTGTATCTGTTGTATCCTTTATCTCAAGTTCGATGGGATAGATGCGTTTAACATGACACCAAATTTTGTGTTATTTAGTGAGAGAACATCATCTATATAGCGGAAAGTAAAGTTAAAGGATACTGCTAACTTCTTTTCTTTAACATGTTTAGCTTATCCAATTCTTCTTTGTTCCTTTTTTCACTTATTTTAAACAATCTTGGTAGAGAGAATCGTCATCGTTTACTTTATATGAAACACTTCGTATGATAAAATTACATGATATCTTTTCGTTTCCATCTTTTTCTTTTATTTCAGTCGACGCAGCTCAAAAAATGGGTTGTGAGTATTAATTTACATTTTACAGATCTTTTTAATCTGATAAGAGAACGCCCATTTAAATTCAAGGGGGGAGGGTTTTTTCCTAAAAAAATATTCTGATCCCCAATTTGATGAAATAAAATATTGTGGTCCAGCAGATGACAAAAAAATTAATCTGAATCCAGATTTTCCCCCATACCTTAAAGTGTTAAATTTTGAAAAAAATAATTTGATTGATAGCGTTGAAAAACTAAAAAAAAAAATGACTCAGACAAAAAACCATACCCCCCCCCCCCCTTTTGAAGTAAAATGGTTGCTCCCTAAAACTGTTTATTATATACATGTACTTTAAAGTAAAAACAAATAAATTATATGAGTAATACAATTAATGACAACCATGCTGTATCAGCTATCGATATAATTATATTGATATCAGTCACGGTTGCACTTTATCAAACCCCCTAATTTGTTTTACGTCATATCTCGTGAAAAAAAATATCTAATATAAAAATAATGAGATGTGGTATGATTATCAATGAGACAATTATCCACCCAAGTTCAAATGAAGTTGATGTAAGCAATTATAGGCAAACGTACGGCCTTCAACAATTGAGAAAAACCCATACCGTATAGTCGGCTATAAAAGGCCCCGACATGAAAAATATGAAACAATTCAATTGAGAAAATTAATAGCCTAATTCATAACAAGACAATTTACGAAAAACAATCATGACAGACACGAATCAACGACAACTACAGGCACCTGACTTCGGACAGACACAAAAAGAATGCAACGGTGTTAAACATGTTTGTGAGCGCCCAACCCTCCGCTAACTTGGTGTTACAGCACAACATAAGAACAAACTTTAGAAATCAGCTGAAAAGGGCTTAACTCATCAGACCGATACAAAGTTGTACTTGAGATAAATATGTTGTGGCTTTTGCAATATTACACACCATATCAACCCTCAACCAATATAATCCAACGAGCAGGGCACTTGGAATTATATTGGTGTCTCGGAATGATACAGGTGTGATATTGGAAAAACCATATGGTATTCTCTGTGTACTGTTTAGGTTCATCATAAGGTATTGGCAAACATGGACGTGTTTATAAAAGAGAGGGGAAGGATACCAAAGGGATATTCAAGCTCATAGGTTGAAAATGAACTGACAACGCCATGGCTAAAAAAGAAAAAGACAAACAGACAAACAACAGTACACAAAACACAACATAGAAAACATAAGACTGAGCAACACAAACCCTACCAAAAACTGGGGGTGATCACAGGTGCTCCGGAAAGGTATGCAGATCTCGCTGCAGATGTGGCACCCGTCGTGTTGCTCATGTTAGTATAAATCAGGTGACAAGTCTTTTGTCAAGACTAAATTGAATATAATTTATGTTCAAAATGTAATTATTTTTTACTGGCTAAGCCGCTTTATTTCATTTCCTTTAGCATAAACCGTTGCACATGTTTTTAAGGTATGATTGGTCCTAGATAAATAAACATTTACATGTATTTTATGCTGCGAAAAAAAGAGAAAAAAAATATTTCCTGCTTTTTTTCTTCAATCAGAATGTGCTAAAAAACTAAGTTGAGATATTTGGGAAGTTTCTTTCGTGTAATAATTTATAGAGTGAACCGCACTTGACATGGGCATTAGATATACAATAATAGGTGAATTAAACTGGGTAAATGAGTGGACTGTATCAATTGAAATGCAATTGTTTGTTTATTTCATCATCATCTACAGGCTTGCAAAAAATGAATCTCGAAATCCGAAAACATTTTGGGACTTTTTAAAGCATATTACTCATATAATACAGAAAGCATTGGTTTGTCTATACTCAAAGTGAATGTGGTGTTAATATGGCCGAATTTGTTAATTATAAGTAAAATGTAAGACTAAAACGCAAATGCACAATCTTTCATCTTAAGAAACAAAAATCATTGAAATAACCGCTTATAAGAGTCTTTTAATAAAAAATAACTAGTATAGCGTTAAATATTTAAACCAACTATATACCGTCTGCACGTAGTTGGTTGCCATTGAATTATCTGTATCTTCTGATCAAAATATTAACAACTTGTTCATTTCACTTGTTTATATATAAAATAAGAAGATGTGATATGATTGCAAAGGAGACAACTCTCCATCAGAGACCAACATACATAGAATTTAACAACTATAGGTCATCGTACGGCCTTCACCAATGAGCAAAACCCATACTGCATAGTTAGCTATATGTTTACCATCCATATCAGGAAATGCCCAAACCCTAAGTTATGACTGTATGTCAAGGAAAATGAATTGATAACACGCAATAACTACACGAATGTCAAAAAATAAAATCAAAGGAATAAGATTAAACTGCTGTTCTTCATCTCAAAGTCGGGGCCTCGGTGGCCGAGTGGTCTAAGTTGTTACTACTGTAATAATTAGCCAGTCAACACTGAGGTTGTGAGTTCGATCCCCGCTCGTGCGGGTGCACTCGACTCCAATCTTAATTGACTAGGATTGTCAGTTTTCCTATCGAAGGTGGGTGGTTTTCTCCGGGCACTCCTGCTTCCTCCACCAATAAAAACTGGCCGCCACGAAATAGCCCAAAAGCGGTGCTTAAAAGTGTCGTTAAAACACCAAAAAAACAAATCAAAATCAAATCATCTCAAAATCACGTTACAGTGAACCCTTCAAATAATCTCATCTCAGCACAAGTTAGTTTGATAAATTAGAGAACACAAGTAAATTGTATGAGTAATACATATATATATATATATATATATATATAACTCAAGGATTATAGAGCAGATTATTACCCTTCGCCTCGGTTGACAATGTTTTTCGTTGTAGCAATCTGCTCTATCACCCTCTCAGCTATGTGTCATTTATATATTATTTCATCGTTAAACGTTTTGAACTCCAGGTTCACCGGTTTCTTTAACCAGAACTAGACAGCATGATACAAACAAAAACAAACAAAAACAAACACAAAACGTTATTAAACCATTTAAAAAGGTTGTAAAATTAATGTCTCAATAATTACATTACATGTATGTTTCATTATAATACGTTACTTTGATTGGCTAATAGCAATTTCGCGTCATTCTGAAATTAGCCTTCATTTCAAAATGAAATGCAACATTCATGATGACACGAGCTTCCACAATAAAGTGCACAGGTAAATAAAAGAAAAATTTGATAGAAATCGTGTTTTCATGATCTTAGCAAAAACATGTAATTATAAGTATTGAATGCTTCTTTTAGTAATTTTATAGGGGTGTAAAAGCGTTGACCGTGCGCACATTTTTATTTTTTTTTTCATACAAAATGTACTTCGGTCAACGCTTTTATACCCCAATAAATTTGGAAAAAGAAGCATTCAATTCTTAATTAAGATATTTTTATTAGGAAATATACATATATTTACCTTACATTTGTATAGACGCTAACACATTTTGCAAAATAATCTGGAAAAGATGGCTAATAAATTTAACCACATAAAAGAGGTTGGACTAAAATTTCCTGTATTTCTTTCATTCACATGGTGAAATTTAAAAATTTCAAATCCTTCTGAAAATAGAGAAAGACTTTCGAAAACAAGGAGATTTCTGTTCTAAAATTGCAAATGTAAAAATAATTAATACAGCACGAAACTCTTTGCCCTTTGGTAATTGAACGGATGCATGAATGAATAGGTCAAGGTTCACTTAGAAGTACTACATGCAGATCAGGACGAAAACATGTTAATGTAATATTAATAGGAACACGACTTAGTACTAGACTGGCCTTCTAAGTCGTATTTTAAGAGATAGATCACAAGATGAATGTACACAGGACGAAATTTCACACTATTTCTTACTCCGAGCTGACCAGTCTATGGTTTTATTTCTAAATGACATGTTCTTAATATGCCTTGAAATTAAACATCAAAAACAAGTTTCAAGTTTTATGTTCAGCGGCCACGCCGTAGGTGAGCCCATTCCCGCGAGATTATCGAGTAGGTTTTTGACCTTTTAAATATTAATGTTGTTATCTTTGCAGGTCAGTCTGGTGTGGTGGAACTTGGCGAATCACCATTGCCGAATAAACAAGTCAGTCACATAATAAGATTTGAGAGGCCATTTTTGAAAATTCCAGCAATTGTGTGTGGCATGCGGGAATTAGAAGCTGACAGGAATCATGACGTTCGTATCAATGCAATTCCTTTCAATGTATCAACGACAGGATTGTCTATGAAAATCTTTTCCTGGGGTGAATCATGTACACACAACGCCATTTTCTCGTGGATGGCATGTCCGATGGTTACTTAGCAACGACCAATTTAGTCACAAAACATTTTCTATCTGAATAATAGGATTCTTAAAATGTTAAAATTCCTTTTTAGAGCTGAACTTTTTTTCTGTTTGAAATTGAAAAAAAAGAGCGAATTGTTTTTTCAGGATTATTAAATATACAAATGAAATGTAATAAACAACTGAAAACAAAAATTTGGTCCGGTATTGTTGTTTCCGAGAATATTCATAAATACTAAAAAATTTTGATTGATGTGCTGAGGTCTGTTTATCAAATGTTGATTACTAGATCTATTTAAATTGTGAAACTTTAAGGGGATGATTTGTTATTAATAGAAATGAAAAATTCACATGATATAAATTGACACAATTGCTTGTTTGGATTTTAATGAACAACTGGCAAGTCAATCCAGTGGAGTACTAGTGAAGCTACTTGCTTTTACCTGGTTTTTAATAGCAGTCTCATATATTAGTCGCAATAGACAATAAAGACGAGATTAAAATGGATTTGCAATTCGAAGTTTGATACTGGACCATATGATTCTAAAGCATTTATTCCAGTCCGGTATTTCAGTCAGATTGAGACAAAGTATTCAGTTGTGAGTTTGAACCCAGATCGTGGCAAAATGACTAAATGAATTTCAAACGTATCCTCTAGTTCATAACACTTTGTGTAAAATATTATATAATGCTGAGGCCGTTGTCCTCTATGAGTTATAAACTACCTATCAAGTTTCAAAGCTGAAGCTATTTGTTAAACGTTATATATCATTTTTATTCTCTTCAATGAAAGACAGAAACATGTACCAAATAATAGCATTATTAAACTTAATCATCTCCAGGTACCCCGCCTCCTTCACAAATAATAGCATTATTAAACTTAATCATCTCCAGGTACCCCGCCTCCTTCACAAATAACAACTGGCCACCATTATATAGTCAATGTCGCTAAAAGTATGTAATACACTAACTAACAAAACGAAGTCATGAAGAGGCTTTAAAAATAGAGCAAATAAAATTATAAGCTGCAAGTTTAAGAAGACCCCAATACGGGTTTGATAGGAATTCTTTGCAAGTGTCAATCACGCTACATATGTGCATTAAAGAACTCAAATATGGGGGAGTACAACTAAATTGTAAATTATGTCTTATAAATATATAATAGTACCAATATAAAAATAAGAAGATGTTGTATGACTGACAATGAGACAACTCTCCACCAGAGACCAAACGACATACAAGTTAGCAACTATAGATCACCGTACGGCCTTCAACAATAAGCAAAACCAATACCGCATAGTCAGCTGTAAAAGGCCCCGAAATGACAAATGTAAACAATTAAATAAGAATAAAGGCCTGATTTATTTATGCATACTAAACGACAAATACATATGATATACAGCAACAAAGGACAACCATTGACTTGGGACAGGCACAAACAGAATGTGGCGTGGTTGAACTAGATTGCTGGCACCAAACCCTCTCCCTAAAATAGGCACGTGGTGTTACAGTACAACATATGAACAAACTATAAAAATCAGTTGAAAAGATCTTTACTCATCAGATCGGTACAAAGCAGAAAAAAACAACTAACAAAAACACAGACAGGACGTGGCAAGGTATTTATACCCCCCCCCCCCCAACAAAAAAGACACTAAGTACAGATCTTAGAGTACTCACAGTCACTGACCGCTAGTTCGAAACCAATAACAGCTTTAAAAAAAAAATCATGTAGCTAAGACTAAAATATCAATCGGTACACAAGTTCATTCGGTAGTCCGCTTCCTCCACAAAAAAAAAAAAAAAAAAAAAAATTACTAAAAAAATTTCGTTCCAGCATGTAACCTTCATTGACATTTAAAACACAAAAACAAACACACATATTAAACATTAATAAGGAAAACTGTTACAATTATTCGCGTCCGAAGCTTTTTTTGTATTTACCTGCATCAGGAACGCTCAGAACCAAAATTTCGATAGCCAAGGATGTACAGAGGATTAAAAATGTGACGAGGCATTTGTCAAAAAAAAAGCACATTGAAATGATATCCAAACTTATCTAAGGTCAACTTTGCCTGATTGAATTGGAACTCTAATTTTTTAACAATTCTTTATTCATGAACGTAGAACATGAATGAAGGTATGTTATAAATCAGGTCAGTAAGTAAGCATTAAATTATAAGCAAATGATAAAACTGTTGTTATATCTATTTGTCGCGTGCTAAGGAGAGAAAGAACAAATAGCTTTGATTCTTTGTCTGGAAGTGGCTTACTTTTTTCGTCCTCTTTGGTTTCATCAGCTCTTTAACGATTGTATAAGGTTTACAATTTCGAATATTTTGGCCTCAAACATTACCAAAGAACAATTTATTATCGAAATGCTAATTTGAGGTAGTAAAATCTATACCGTAAATAATTTTTTTTTTGTAAAGTTCTGTAAGGTTCTCACATTATATTAAACAACAATGAGGGTTGGAGAAAAAAAGTTTGAATGAAATGAATAACTTTTATTTCCCCACCGATAAAGAAAGGCGGAAGGTACCAAACGGATAGTCAACCTCATTCTTTTTTCATGTAACTAATTCGTGTACACGTCATTTAAGTAAAATTATAGATATTTGTCGTATAACAGGAACACATAATATAAGAATATAAGTCGGATAACGCACGACTGAATGAATTTCAAACGTATTCTCTAGAAAATGACAATATGTGTAAAATGTTATATAATTCTGAGGCCATTGTCCTATTTAAATCCAGACAATACAAATTTATTTGTAAGTTATAAACTACATATCAATTTGCAAAGCTCAAGGTATTTGTTAAATGTTATATAAATTTTTATTCTCTTCATTGAAAGACAAAGCCATTTATCAAGCACTAGCATTATTAAACTTAATCATCTCCGGATATCACGTGGTTTCCTTCACAAATAACAAATAGCCGCCATGATGAAAACAATGTTGCTGGAAATGGCATAAAACACCAACAAACAAACAACAAATCACAAAGACGCCTTTAACAAAGTGCTGAGAATTCTAACTTCAAGTTCAAGATGGCCTTACCAATGGTTTGAATGGATTTCTCTGCTCTCACGCTACATATGTGCATTAAAGATCACATCTACGGAGAATACTTGTAAATTGTCAATTATGTCAGACAATGAAATATACTAGTATTCTTAAAGTATTGAACTTATTTATTAAACTCCCTGTACTTCTATCTCCTCCGTCAATAAAACCTGGATGCAAGGATATATAACCAAGGTAACTGAAAATGGCGTTTTTAAAAACAGCAATCAAAATAAAACTTAATGGACATTTAAAACAAAAATTAGCCTTTATTACATTAGTTGCGTCCATTGCGCATATCTGAATTTATCTTCATCGGCAATATTTAAAGCTAAAAGTTGTAAAGCCACGGAAGTTTAAAGGCTTGAAAACACAATGACCTATATGACCAAAAGCACCTTAAAAGAAAAGTCAAATATATCTATGGTAAATTTTCCTGAGAAAGTTGGAATATAAGTTTAATCATAATCTATAAGGAATATTTTTAAAAAGGAATGTTTTAAATTATTTCAATACCAAAGCACACTAACAACTGAGCTGACAACTGAACTGTTCATATACAGAAGAAAAAGAAAAAAAAAGAAAAAAAAACCGTATTCCTAAATGCCATGTGTTTAGTAGAGAAAAATCAACTACCAAGTGTTAAGTCTTTGGTTTGATTCGGCCGCGGTTCAAAGCCACGACCTCCCACACTCGAGGCGAAATGCTACCACTAGACCACCGAAGCGGTTCGGATTCAAGTGAGTTTGAATTTTTGACTTTATTCCAATTATACATCAGCGATGTTTTAGATATTTAAACAAAGGAGATGCGGTTTGATTGCCAATGAGACAACTATCATTCCAAGTTCAAATGAAGTGGATGTAAGCACTTATAGGCAATCGTATGGCCTTCAGCAATGAGAGAAACACATACCGTATATTAGGCTTTAAAAGGCCCCGACATGAAAAATATGAAACAATTCAAATTAGAAAACTAACGGCCTAATTTATAAAAAAGACAATTTACGATAAACAAATATAACAGACATTAAACAACGACAACCATTAATCTACAGACTCTTGTCTAGGGACAGGCTCATATAGAATGTGGCAGGGTTAAACTAGTTTGTTGGCGCTAAACCCTCCCCATAACTTTGGACAGTGGTGTAACAGAACATCATAAGAACAAACTATAAAAATCAGTCGAAAAGGGCTTAAATCATCAGATTGATACAAAGCAGAAAACATCTATCGAAAACACAGACTGGACATGGCAGCGTATCTATACATCCCACAAGAAAAAAGACACTAGGTAAAGATCTGAAAGTACTCGTAGTTACTGACAGCTGGTTCAAACCCAATAACAACTAGTGAAAAAATCATGTATCTTAGACCAAAATATCAATCAATACACATTCAACATTCAATGGATTTAGTGTTAAGACGTAATTAACAGTCAGAGAAAAACATGACCTTGTACGTGTGCAATGCCAAAATATAGACATCGACAGATTGTAGTACCGTGAATCTGCATATGTGTATAATAATAGTATTTAGTATGGTTTTAATTTACTGATAACAAAATCAATATTAATACCAAGAAAAATAATATTCAAAGATCTAGTTACAGTGTTGAATTGGTAACCTTATAAGATAAGTTTATTTAAAGGATTGATAAGTTTACCCATAATTTATCTTAATTTCCGGGCTCGGTAAACAACAACGTAAACATTAGGATGTGCTATTCCGTTTGAAATAACTTTTCTACAGGTACAGCCAAGTTAAAGTTGCAAACCAAATCTTTGTATCTATCACTACCGAACATTTTGGTTAATACACAGATACCATGTTTGTCTCCTCTATTCCTATATATTTACACACAGTGCTAGAGGGAGTACAGAATCTCCAATGCAGAGCATTTGATTAAATATTTCGATTCATTCGTTAATGAACTGTCATGAAATGTAAACATGCCAAATAGTAGACTGTTGTACCAAGGATTGGTTTGGTTATTGTAACATCGTCATCTACATATTCCTCATCCGGCTGCAAATCCAATGCTAAAACGAGTCGTTCGTATATGCAG